ATACATGATAGTTTTGGAGTTGAAGCTGGTCTAAAATTCTTTTTAAAATACTAGAATATGTACAATAAAAAATTTAGAACTTTTTAGAGTTTTTATTGTACATATTCTAGTATTTTAAAAAGAATTTTAGACCAGCTTCAACTCCAAAACTATCATATATATATATATATATATATATATATATATATATATATATATATATATATATATATATATATATATATATATATATATATATATATATATATATATATATATATATATATATATATACGTATATGTAGGTTGTAAGAACTGAAAATAATTATTAAATACATTAAAACCAGAATGAAAGGAAAGAAATAATAGCCTAAAAAAACACCGGAACAGAAACCACGCCAGGCCGACAAATAGGTCGACATAGAATACAAAAAACCTTTGTATACAACTTTAGTTGAATCATGCATGCAGGAAGCAAGTTTTGCATAGTATAGCAGTTATGCAAGCTGCACCATGCCCAATTATCCTTTCTCACGATGACGAATATCCGCCATTTTTGGGTGTCATCGCCGGAACTTTATTTAGTTTATTATCCAATGCAGACAATTAAAACAATGTGAAAAGCAATTTTTCAAAATAAACTAACCATTTACAAAGCAAATTTACCGTCATTCGTCCAAAAAAATATGAAAAGTCGCTGTTATGTGGACTTATCGCACATACTTCATGCAGCTGAAATGCCTGCACCCAAAAATGGCGGCGTGAGAAAGGTTAATTCAATACTATATACCCACTATATAGTTCAATACTTTTGCTCATAAGATCGAGCGACACACTCGCTAATACTATAAACTCTGTAAATAGTGAATGGTCATGCAAGCACTTATTCATATAAACCTGTAATTGTAATTGTCATGCTATATATATTTATAAACTTTATATAATATTGGAATGCAACAATCTAGCTTGCTCATAGTTTAATGGACCATTTGCATTATAGACTAAATTTTGATCTAGACAAAAATTTCATCACAGCTTGAAAGAGCATCACAAAATTAGTAATATTCCAAAGTTTCGTTGCGAAATGTTGTAAAATGCGGATAATATAGCCATGCAAAGTTTGCCGTTTTTCAGTCATTTTGTATTACGCACGGGAAATTGCCAGCCCAATCGGGTGTTGGGGCATCAATTTCCCGTTTGTAATACAAAATGACTGAAAATTGCAAATTTCGCAAGGCTATGTTATCCGCATTTTACAACATTTCGCAACGAAACTTTGGAATATTACTAATTTTGTGACGCTCTTTCAAGCTGTGATGAAATTTTTGTCCAGATCAAAATTTAGTCTATAATGCAAATGGTCCATTGCAAACCGGCCAATTTTGTGGTGAAGCTGTAGTTCCAATTAAACACTGATTGTGTTTTTGTGTTTCCCCGACAGGAATTTCCTGAAACCTCCACCCACACAAATACGTCAGCGCGGAAATTCCTGTCATTATAAAAGACGACATTAGCTGGTCGCTGCGCACACAATCCAAGATCCACCCTGAAGGCTGATACAAAATTGGAATAGGTGAGTTCAACTGTTCTTACATTTCCATAACCATTTATTTATTTGTTCATCTGTTGCGCTTCTTACAGTTCGGAGTTTATATGGTGGTACAGGTTTGTGTTAGAAGTATACATTTGTAACATTTAACCAACCACCATGCATAAATGTGGGGCCATGTCGTTGTCCTCTATGACTGATAAGCGATATTTCGCGGTTCAAGTTATCAATAGCCAATTCCATTATATGGACTAATTTTAAAACTAGGCAAGGAGATGCAAATAAATCACCACAGCTAGAAAGAGCATCACAAAATTAGTAAAATTACAAAGTTTGGTTGCGAAATGTTGTAAAATGCGGAAAATAGAGCCTTGCAAAGATCGCCGAATTTTGTATACTTTTGTATTGCGTGCGGAAATTCCTACCACATTCCTACCACATTTAAATAGTAGCAATTAAATGGTAGCAATTTAGTACTACAATATACGTTTGGTCAACACATAACCTCTCATATTTTTTTTCTTATCTTTAAAAATAGAATTCTCTGAAATGTATTTCAAAATCTTGGTGCTTGTTTTGGCGTTGCCATTTTTACTCAAAGTAAGGAATATATATTTGTTTGCTGTTTTTTACCGAATAATGTGCTGTTATTTTTTAACAGTAAGTGTATACTGTAAATCGTAAATTACGGTAAAATGGACTGTATTTAGAAAGTAATCTGTTGTTTGACCGTAATCTTTTACAGTAAGTATTCTGTAATTGTAAATGACGAAATCTGTTACAGCCTTTTTTTACGGTATAAATACAGACTGCGGTTAAAAAACGGTCTCTGTAAAATTACAGTACATTCTCTGGCGTCCCAGCTGCCATTTTTTTCAACAGTATACACAATTGCATTTAGGCTGACGACGCCATGAAGATTGCCAATACATTTGATGAACAAGATCTAGATGAAATTGCAAAGTTTGAAGGAATTGAAGAAGATAGCAAAAGCACAGAAGTAGAAGAAGAATACAAACGCACTCTCGTGAGTGATGATGCCGACGCCAAGCAAAGTTTTTCAAAACTCAGCCTGAAATTGGCAAAACTGCATGTGAGTTATATGTCCGAGCCTTTCGACCAACTGACTTTTTTCAGTAGCAATTAAATTGAATACTTACTCATTGTTACCTCCGCCAGGAGGTTATGTAATCATCTGGGTTTTTACCTCCGCCAGGAGGTTATGTAATCATCTGGGTTTGTATGTGTGTGTGTGTGTGTGTGTATGTGTGTGTGTATGTGTGTGTGTCTGTATGTGTGTGTGTTTGTCTGTGAGCACGATAACTCAAGAAATACCAAACATATCCGTACGAAATTTTGTGAGTGCATTTCCCATCGGCTACGGAAGAACTGATTAAAATTTGGTTGAATTTGGTTAAAAATTGAATGAGAAATAACAAAAGTTTGTCTTGCTTTTCCCCGTCAATTAAATAAAACTTTATACTGAATGCGTAATTAGGACGTGCATAATATATGCACCAGCCATTCAAATTCTAATAACAATAGATTACTTCAATATTTTGCGCGTAGGCGGAGGTATGCAGTCTCTGAGTGCCCTCTAGTTGTGAATGTATCGATTATGAATTAAAGATTTAAGAATAACCCCTTCCACCTTATCAATTACCCAAACAAATACTAGCTGCTATCACCCTCCCACCGAGTAATTGTTCCAGAAGCGAGAATAATTATGCTGGAACTCCGAATTCCGACATATTCGAAGTAAAAATGAAAAAGTGAAAATCACAGAACTTGTTTTTCAATATATTAATTAATCGAAGAAACGCGTAGCGAGCCAGTATGCATCAGTCAGTAAAATAAATTAACGAGCACAGCGTTTAATTCTCAATTTCTATATGAAAACTATATCAAGATTTTGTATACTCACGTATAGTTACAAAAGCAAACTTTTACTTCTTTAACTTAATTTCATTTTTCTTACTTCACGCCTAAAAGGTATTGGAAGAAATTGTGAGAAAAAACAAAGCCATATCCAGTTTGTCGGATACAGTCAATGGCAATTCCAAAGGTAAAAAATACCCCAAATACAACATCCGTCTGAGAGAATTGAATAAATTAAAACAACTATGCATGTATAATCCCATGCTACAGGACGAAAATCTTACACTAAACTAACTTTGCACGTTGATACTGCAAAGCCTCATCAGTTCAAATATTTATCCAGTGTTACTGTAGGAGGAAACCTAAGCTAAACTGACTTTAACATTATACTAGATAGCTCTATTAGTTCCAGCAAAAAAGATCCAGTAAAGATCATCTCTTTATATTGATCCAGTGTTGCTACAGGAAGAAACCTTGACTAACTTTATTTATCATTTCAAAACTGTTCTTCCAAGAGGTCCAGCAAGAATCATCTCTTATTAATTCAGTGTTACTACAAGAGGAAACCTAAACTAAACTAATTTTAGTTATACTGGATAGCTCTATAAGTTCTAATAAACTGTTCTTCCTAGAGGTCCAGTAAGGATCATCTCTTATTGATCCAGTGTTACTATATATACAGGAGGAAACCTAAACTAAACTAACTTTATTTATACTGGATAGCTCTATCAATTCTAAACTGTTATCCTTAGAGGTTCAGTAAGGATCATCTCTTATTGATCCAGTGTTACTACAGGAGGAAACCTAAACTAAACTAACTTTATTTATACTGGATAGCTCTATCAGTTCTAAACTGTTCTCCCTATAGAGGTTCAGTAAGAATCATCTCTTATTGATCCAGTGTTACTACAGGAGGAAACCTAAACTAAACTAACTTTATTTATACTGGATAGTTCTATCAGTTCTAAACTGTTCTTCCTAGAAGTCCAATAAGAATCATCTCTTATTGATCCAGTGTTACTACAGGGGGAAACCTAAACTAAACTAACATTATTTATACTGGATAGCTCTATCAGTTCTAAACTGTTCTTCCTAGAGGTCCAGTAAGAATCATCTCTTATTGATCCAGTGTTACTACAGAAGGAAACCTAAACTAAATTAACTTTATTTATACTGAATAGCTCTATCAATTCTAAGCTGTTCTTCCTAGAGGTCCAGTAAGGATCATCTCTTATTGATCCAGTGTTACTACAGGAGGAAACCTAAACTAAACTAACTTTATTTATACTATAAGGCTAAATTATGATCAAATAACTGCATGCATATTGTAAACATATATGGCACATGTAAAAAGAACTGGGCAACCTTATTTGCATGATATCTGCATGAGCGCGCTCAATTAGTCTTTCTCATGCCGCCATTTTTGGGTGGCATTTCAGCCGAAGTCTGCGAGATAAGTCCACGTAACAGCGACTTTTTATAATTTTTGGACGAATGATGGTAAATATGTTTTTTAAATGGTTAGTTTATTTTGAAAAATTGCCTTTCACATTGTTTCAATTGTCTGCATTGGTTAACGAGAATTCGATGCCACCCAAAAATAGCGGATGTTCGTCATCGTGAAAAAGACTAATTCAATTAATCATGACAGTACTATGTTTTATTGAATAATGGTTATCATGTTTAATACCATTACTTTATGACTAAAATCTATGTAGATAAATGCAGAAAGATTAAGAAAGTGGGTGAACCTATCGTACATCATCATTCTGGATCTACTCAGGGAACATGGATGAGAGATCCTCTTGGACTGCTTGGCCCAGAGAAGATTTGGTACATGAATAGTTATAAGGGTGATAAAGTGTTGGAATTTAAAGACATGGATCACTTCAAAGGTGGAGAAGTTGCCAAAACTTACACCCTACCATATAAGTTTGATGGTACAGGATCTGTTGTTTATGGACGATATCTTTACTTTAACCGGTTTGTATAGGAATTATACTTTTTTGTAATAAGTCCTTTGTAAGTTTGCACGGCGATAAAATATATAAGTAATACATTGCAATGATAAATTCACGTGGTGTTTCCACAAACAAAAATATTATACTTTTTTTGCCTAATTATAATTAAAAAATAACCCCTGCACGAAGGAAAATAATAGTTAATATTCTATAACCCTGGACTATAGAAGTGCAAATGTACAAGTTGTTCTGAGATATTTACAAATTTCATTTACAGGGCTAATACAACATATATTGTGAAGTACGACTTGGTCACAGAAAAGATTGCCAAAGAGCACAAACTATCATCATCAATCAAGCCACGAAGGTATAGTTACCAATGGGGTGGTTACAATACAATGGACCTATCAGTGGACGAAAGCGGTTTATGGGTTCTGTATTCATATGCTGGTTACAATGGGCGATTATGTGCTATACTACTTGATCCATTGACCCTTGGCTTCCTGGATCAATACTGCGGCATTTCCTCTGAGCCCAGGAACAGCATGGGAAACGCATTTGTCGCGTGTGGTGTTGTTTACAGCATCGATAGTTATAACTCAGCCACAACAACCATTAACTACGCCTATGACATAGCCAAGAAATCTGGGACCAATCCAAAAATTAAGTTTATCAACAATTTCGCTTACAACAGCATGGTCACTTACAACCCTCGCGAGAAGGTTCTCTACGCCTGGAATAACAAACGGCAAATAACATACCCATTGGAATTTGAAGACGAGACACAAGATTAACTTGGGCAAAGGATTGAAACGGGCACGAATATGGACACGATTTACAAAACTTCCCTTTTTTAATAACAAAGTATTAGTTCTTTGAATGTTTGCATGGCGATAAAATATAATTGTTTTTGTTTGTGGAAACACCACGTAAATTTGCAGTAATAAATTTACGTGGTGTTTCCACAAACAAAAACAATTAAAGTATTAGTTGATGAACAGTAGTTTAAATTGATTCATATACCACAATCATATACTCCATGGTAGATCAAATATGGGAGATTTAGTGTACCACAATCATGTATGTGGAGATTTAGTGTGCAGGTAGTGTTGTTCAATGAACAGTTTTTGATTTTAGTTAAACTATATATCCTATACTTAATACTATTGATGTATATGTTTTGTTTTTCATTAATAATAACTATACACTATAACTGCAAATTGAGTTCATGCTGTTAATGTTTTCAAATGGTCGTAAAGGGTAAATGGGAACTGGGCCTATTTTTCGACTGGGAAGATTTGGGTTACTGGGCCACTGGCATGAACGACACAAAAATGAGAAAACCCAAACACCATTATAAAGACATTTGTAGTTGGACATTTCAGAGTAAAATAATGAGAATTTGTATAAAAAATGTCCGGGAAAACTGAATTTAACCGACTTATGGTTGAATGAGATCATTTGTCTGCTATTGTGCGTCGCCCATATACCTTTTTCTTGGCAAAACTAGTTCTATAAAGAGGGCAATTGAACTCAGAATCGCAGAATTATGTTTAAAAGTAATCATTTTCTTTTAATATCACTGTGGGAATGGGATTTGATCTGAAAAAAGGGCTGGGAAATTGATTTAGAGAAAATTTACGCTGGAAAATGGATCTAAAGTATACAGAATGGTTTCTGCAAAACACAGATTTCATGCAAAGAACTGACTGGCTAGAAATATATTATCAAGCATATTCGATCCCTATACCGTGGCAGTTTTGATTTGGCACTATTTAAAAAAAATAAAATAGACCCATGAATTAGGTAATCGGCCATTTTTGGGGTACTGTCTGCCCTCGTGAAAGATTCTAGACAATTCAAACAACGTGAAAAGCGACTTTTAAAAGTGGTAACTGTAAATTTACCATTATACAAACAACTATAACGCTAAAAAGTCGCATTTCGTGGTACGGATATTGCAGTGAGAATATCGGAGGCGTTTTAATTAAAAACGCGGGCTATATACCCGTAAAGTGTGAGGCACGCGGGTAATCGATGAATGCGTGCGAAGAATTCCATTCTTCCCTTGCTCCCCCGCGCGCTTTTACCAATTACCCGAACGCCTTATATCTAACAGGTATGCAGCCCGCCAATCTCGTTCCCAGAGTATGTACTCTGGGAACGAGATTGGCAGCCATAACCCGCGAACAGGCATACTCTGGGAACGAGATTGGCAGCCCGCGTGTAGAACTTAAAAACCGTAAATAAGCCTGCGAACCTGACGGTTTCAAGCGGTTGGCGTTGAGGCGCATGAGGCAGCGAAAATTAGGGAGGTAAGGTATAACCATGTTGTTTTATTTTGCTCACATGATAATACTGGATACCTGGTAAAGTATGTTGATTCAGTCCTTGGACTGGATCAAAATTAATTCAGTTCTTGGTCTTGGACTGGATCAAAATTAATTCAGTCCTTGGACTGAATCGAAATTAATTCACCTCTTAGAAATCATTCGGTCCCCAGGATAATTTTAGTATGGGTGATTTATTCGTATGAGATGTCATATTAAATCCTCCAATTCGGACTGGACAAGATTCCAGGTCCTTGCATTTTGATCAAATTGCACGGACTTAAAATCTACTCCAGTCCTCATAGTCGGTTTTGTAATATTACTTGAAAGTTGCTTTAAATGCTTGGAATATTTTCACAAGGAGAAATTGTAAAAATATTGACTCCTTTGATAAAATAGTAAATGATATTAACCAAGTATATTAACTGGTCTGGATGAAATAACTAATTAGAATAGCACATCAATATATCCGTGGCTGCTTGTAGACGCAGACCAAAATAAAATATTGCACCCTTGTCTTGCATGTTTAATTCGTGTCGAAACCAAATTACCGTTATGGTAGAATTGCCATGATGTCCATTTCACAATATTATAGATACATTTCTATGCATCAAATATTCAAATTGTATATGATAGATCAGTCATCAGTTGCTGCATGAAAGAATGCAACAGCAAGGATCGACACACAATAATTTGGTTTAAAGCAACAGGCAATTTGTGTATATTGCCTGATGAAAATCTCGCTTTAAAGATCGCACGTATAGCTATATAGGTATACACGCTTAAAAATGCGACATTGTATAGAGGTCCAAACTAGGTTCAAATTTCAAAACACATGTTTCACATTTCAAAACTGATAAATTTCAGCCTTGCATGCAATGAGAATAGATATAGTACATGAGCATGCAACTATTAGCCAGTATTTATCAAATAGTATTTATCAAAAGTACTGACTGGTGTAGCACTGCCCATTTCCCAAACGAAACGGCATATGAGCTTAGTATCACTGAAACTATATTCATTCTGGAGTCACAATATGCCTTCAAATTGTTTCAATGTGCTGATTTAATTCTACTATAAACTCACAATAATCCGGGTATGCTCTAATCTGTGCTTAGATAACAGTGCTTTAATTTTAAACCAATTTTTTTGCGGAAGGTATAGTAGCCAAATTATTAAATATTGCTGATTGTGTCAATGTGTATATTAGTACTTCCTTAACAAAAATTTGCTGAAACGAACTGAGTCACACAATGCACAATTAAACTTAAATTAAATTACAAGGCATAAAAGCTCTATTTATAAGTTAAAAGGCTTCATGTTAAATTGAGAGTTAAGTATAAAAGGAACTCTTAGTTAGAAGTTAAAGGACTTTTGGATATTAAAATTAACTGTATACCGAGAAAGCCATTTACAGACCATCACTTTTCATTTTATAGCGATTATACAGTAGCGATGCAGTGGCGTAGCTGGCCCGACAATTTAGTCCCGCTATGCAAATATTTTCATGTTCATTGACTGTGAAAACAATCAATTTCTAAAGAAATGAATGATAATAATTTTGAATTTGCAGAGCGGGACTAAATTGTCGTGCACAGTTAGGGGCACACCATCAAGCTGCTCCATTTACTGTTCGGAGTACTCCGGATTTTCGGAACACTAATGGAATGGAACAGAAGAGAGTCACATGACTGTTCTGAACTGTTCTGACTACCCCGATTTTCGAATAGGGGCAGCCAGAACAGACACGTGACACTGCCCATTTTCACGTGATTGGAAATGGTGGAGACACATTTTGTGTATCCAATGCACACTGTATAGAGCGTTATTTTGAAGGGTTACACAGCAAAAAATCACTTTCTTATTTTAAGAAAAAAAAAACTTATTTTAAGAAAATTTTCTTAAAATAAGTAAAAATTTTCTTGGGAGACTGGTAAGAAAATTTTCTTACTAATTTTCTTAAGAATTTTTTTCTTAAGAAAATCATGAGATTTTTCTTAAAATAAGAATACCAATTTCTTATTTTAAGAATATTTTTTCCTTTAAAATTTCTTATTTTAAGAAAATTTTCTTAAAATAAGTCCAAATTTTCTTGGGAGACTGGTAAGAAAATTTTCTTACTAATTTTCTTAAGAATTTTTTTCTTAAGAAAATCTGAAGAAAATCATGAGATATTTCTTAAAATAAGAAAACTCAATTTCTTATTTTATAAATATTTTCTCTTTAAAATTTTTTAGTTTAAGGAAGAGGTATATTTTTATTTTATAAGGACCAACAAGTTATAGTAATGATATATTGATTATAGACTGGAAGCAATTATAAAGAATACATGGCACCTTGCATGCAATAGTTTATACTGTATATAAATATATATAAATATATACCACATGATATTCATCATATAGTAATATATACCACATGATATTCATACAGAAAAATATATACCACATGATATTCATCATACAGTACATACTGTATTAGTACCAGCTTATTGCATATCAACTTTGAAACTCTGGCAGCTTGTCATCATCGACTTAAACAAATTGGCAATGTCTTGTGACACATTTGTGTCTTAAAAATCTAATGCTGAAAAACATTCAAACCAATTTCCTGCATCTGCGAATAATCAAAATCCAGAAGGTAGAAACTGGCAAGAAGTGCAAGTACTGCCTCATTCAAATTGAACATCTCCATGACATCTCATATGTAATGTTTCACGTTTTAAACACTGAAGACGTTCACAATCACATTATTTGTATGAAGGGGAATTTGTGTGCGATGACTGATGAGGATATAAAGTGACTGGTCAACAGGGATTTTTAGCCAGTCATTGACTGTTGACTGGCCGTTATCTTGAGCCTGGGATGCATGCGACTATGACAAGTTACCTAGCTGCTGGTCTACACTATTTAATATACTGTACCAAACAATTAAATAAATTAATGGAGAGAGTATAGACAGTACATATACACATGCCAAATTCAATGTTCTACTCTAAATCAGCCTTGAATTTTCGGAAACTTGTTAGTGCTGACTGAACTGAATCGGCAACCTCTTGAGGAACATTAATGTCTTGAAATACATAACGCTCATGGAGAACAATTAATCCAATCTCCGGAAAGTGTGGATAATCAAAAACTAAAAGATAAAAACTTGCCAGCACTGCAGTGCTTCATTCAGCTCTGTTATGTCCACTTCGGCCAGAATTCTCTTTCCAACGATAACACTGTAGGTAGCATTTCGTCTTTTCCACCAAGAGGACAGGTACATTACCAGAACGTTTGGAGCACCAAACTTCATGGTCTTCGTTATCCTAACAAAGAAATACATGGATGTACAGTATGCATGATATATGATTAATTACATAGTCATTTAAATATAAAATAAAAATAAAATAGACTTTCACATTGGCTGTGTGAACATAACAGACTTAAGACCCTCCTCCGCTCATGGCAAAAACCAACTCGCAAGCTAGCTATTGTACAAGACATTATCCAATCACAATGCTCAACAGTTTATTTCGATAAGATGGAAGCACTCACAGCAGGCTGGTCACTTGGTTTTGCAATGAGTGGAAAAGAGCTTTTAAATTGAAGATGTGAACATCAAGACAAGGTCAATTACTGCATGGTGGACAGATCTGGAAGCTAAATAAACTGCAATATTTTCACACCATCACACATCCTGAACAGGGCCGTACACAGCGGGTGGGGGGAGGTTGTTGGGGCGCAACTGCCCCGAAAAAAACTATATTTACGAATTTTTAGAATGTCATTAATTATTCTTTGGATATTTGGGACTTTTTTTGGCATTATATAGGCCTTACTGCCCCCCTGGTGAAAAAATGTTGCGTATGGCCCTGATCCTGAATCTAAATTTGTCTAATGTTGCCAAAGTTCACTCAGTATATAATTATGCTAATTAACCTATGCCTAAAACTTTCTATAACCCAGGAAAATGACATGGATGCAATAAATCTGTAAGGATGAATTTACCAGAATTTTCCAGAGCTGAATATTCCATGGAAATTTTGAAAATTATGTATGATCTTAGAATCTATAAAAAATCAACATGTATTCAATTCAAAGCAAAACAGGAATGGACAAACTTGGCTGAATTAGCCCAGATATTATTTCTATCCCCTCAGTTGGAAATAAGTAGGCATAAGAAATAAGCATAAGTTAACTTCCTTTTTCTTGCCAAAAATGCAGGGGGAATTTCTTGTTAGTTTGTGGGATAGCCTGTCCTGTGTGTTGCAATTCACACAGAAACTAGCCAGCTAGATTGCCGGATGGTTGAGGCCTGTAAATACAAAGGCGAGTGAGTTACTGTAGCCATGCAAGCAAGGCAAGTTACTGTTTGTATGGGATTGGCTTATATAGCATTTGCTAAGCAAATTCCATATAAACAGAAACTTAGCATAAATTTGTGCAAAACACAAAGTCGCTTAAAAGATTTCAAAAACATTACATACAAAATATAATGATAATACAAGAATTAATGGCAAGAAATTCAGGAAAGCTGATATCTAATCATTCATATTTATTTGTAAGCTATTATTTTAAATGCAAGACAAATTTCTACCTTTCCCGAGTAAAGTGTTTAGACGGATGGTAAAATAAGTCATTTCACCTGGGCAAGATTTTGTGTCTTTCTGCCAGAACTTGCCAAGGTGAGTTGCCAGGTTGTATCATATAAACTCACCTTGCCGGGTAACTTGCCTCCATTTAAACAGGCCCCTTATATAGACATTCTCATATGAACAACCCCTATAAACATGATTTTTTTGTGTTGGTCTTGTGTACTCAGGTGAATATGATATTTGTGACGTTACTCTGAGTGAGTATCCACACCGGGCAAGCTTGAAAAATATGCCTGGCCACATGGAATACTAGCCCAATGCTCTGCCAACTGAGCTACGCGGTCAGGTCGGGTAATCTAATAGGCCTAATCATGATTTTTTTGCAGAGTATTGGGCTAGTATTCGAAAGGTCGTAGGTTCGATTCCCACTGTAGCCAGGCATATTTTTCAAGCTTGCCGAGTGTGGATACACACTCAGAGTAACATCACAAATACCGGTATCATATTCACCTGAGTACACAACACCAACACACAAAAAAATCATGATTATTACATTACATTGATGTCGAAGGAAGTAGAGTCAGTTCCGAAATATCACATACTCGAACCAATCTGACCGCGTATACGTAGCTCAGTTGGCAGAGCATTGGACTAGTATTCCAAAGGTCGTAGGTTCGATTCCCACCCTTGCCAGGCATATTTTTCAAGCTTGCCCAGTGTGGATACACACTCAAGAGTAACATCATAAATATCAACCCCTATAAATTTTAATGTAAAATTATAAGTTTGATACCGGCAATTAAACATTATGAACTATCAAGTTTATACTTGAATCAGCATAATTATATCAATGGTCGACACGAAATCAGATTTAATTAAATTAAACAGGAATACTGCACACTATTTGGTGTCGTTTTACATATTTTGAATACATGTGCATATACATACAGCATGCTAGAATATCGTCTTGAATATATGCACGTTCAAACCGCATGTTGTTTGTATAATTGAGATTTTAGCATTAACTGACAATAATCGGTATTTATTACCCGGCCATTTTTGTGTTTTGTTGAGAAAATATGTACGAGCAATGAGAATTGCCGAGTCGAGACTTGAGATGTATAACCAACGACGGGAAATCGACTGGTTGTTGCAAAACACTGGGCTTTCTAATACACAAAATATGAACAAAAAACATTACCTTGCCGTATCTGACCATATTCAATGCCTTCAGAAGTAATTTGGCCAAGTAAAGATGCGTTTAGGTGTCCAAAATTAACATTTTCAACGACTATAATTTACACTATAAGCTCTTTTTTGTTCCAAAGTCAAACCGCCGAAGGATCAAAGTTCAAATTGCTGAGTCGCCTGCGCTCCTTCGCCCAGCGGCTACGCTCGTGTTCCAAGATCCGCCATGTAAAGTGTAGTGAAATGTATCTCACTAAAGCCTCTGCTGTCAGTGCTGTGCCTCTGCGGAGGAGAGACCCAGAGTCCTCTAAGCTCTGGCTTATTATGGCAATTATTATGGTTTTACTTTTAATGAAAATGCTGAGATCCATGTGATTGCGATTCATACTACAATATGGAGTCTGAATAACAACAGAAACACCTGATCGGTTGAAATTATTGTGTGTATAAAAAATTATATAGAAACTATAACGATTAAAAATCGTAATATGCATGTGCATGTATGGTGCAATTTGTACTTAATTCAAGAATATTGCAAAAACAACTTCCTTATTTTGAGAAAGATAATCTGCAATGAGGAAATTAATCATTCCATCAATCAAGAAACGGTTAATTAATGTATATATTTTCAAGAGAAAACGTCTTATGAGTTATGTAGAAAAACGAGGTTCGTTTTAATAAAGCATGCATGCAGTCAGAGGAATAACTTATCATTTTAAGAAAACATTTATATGTGGAATCATGGATAATAAAATAAATATAGTTGTTTTACAATCCATGGTGGAATTGACTATATTATATACGAAGTATTTTTCTTCAGAAATAATTTTCTTATTTTAAGAAAACGGAATCTTAAATCAAGAAATATTTTTTAAGAAATAATTTTCTCATTTTAAGAGAACAGTTATCTTAAATCAAGAAGTAATTTTTCTTGAGAAATAATTTTCTCACTTTAGGAAAACAGTTTTCTTAAATTAAGAATAATTTTTTTCTTAAGAAATGATTTTCTCATTTTGAGAAAACATTTTCTTGAATTAAGAAAAGAAGTTTTCTTAAGAAATAAGTTTCTCATTTTAAGAAAATATTTTCTTAAATTAAAGGCACAGTTCAGCCTGTTGAACGATGGTTTTTAAGGCGCATTCCAGCCCTTTTAATTGAAAAAACTAACTAGGAAAATCAATTAAGCATAATTCAAAATCAGTAAACTCGATGTTTTTAACAATATAAAGGTTTTAAAATGTTAAAAACATTAAGTTTGGTGATCTTGAATTACGCTTAATTGATTTTCCTAGTTAGTTTTTTCAATTAAAAGGGCTGAAATGCGCCTTAAAAACCATCGTTCAACAGGCTGAACTGTGCCTTTAAGAAAATAATTTTTCTTAAGAAATTGATTTTTTGCTGTGTACCCGCTATATTTCGACATATACTTATTATATGCTATTTGAACGCCAGGGTTCAGCAAAATCAACGAGTAGAAACGTTGCAAAACCATACTTAGATGTACAAATAACAGCGAATCATTATACGCTTTATTATGCCAAAACTAATTAATATAGTAATGGCTGCACGCTTACAATATGAGCGGCCGTGTTGTATCGGATATACAAACTCGAGCCGAAGGCGAGAGTTTGTATATCCGATACAACACGGACGCGAATGTTGTAAATGACTTAAAAAACGACTCATCTTATGGGTTCACTGGCGAAGTAATTTTAAAAATAAACGTTGTCTAAGCCGAGAAAATCAAAGTTAAAGTTTATGTAAATCAACATGAATCTGTATCACATATACAGATACGACACGCTTATGATTTTTCTTTGTGTTCATGAATTATTAATAAGTTTTTTAAAATAAACTAAACACTGTTCCAGAACACCGTGCAGTGCACTCCATTTTATATCGTTCCAGAACAGTGTTCCAAATGTTCTAGAACAGTAAATGGAGCAGCCTGCATGCATCAGGCACGGCCTATCGCCCAGAAAATTAGAAAACGTAAAAAATGCAGGTTAAGAATCAATGGGAAAATGCAAAATTAATAATGCTAAATAAAAAAGCCTCCATCGACAACGGTCGCTGATTTTTTTATTCCATCTCAAATAAAACAAAAGTCATTCTTATTAGTTGTTACATGTGTTGGAGGCTGTTATTGTTGTTGTTATATTCCTTCGTTACGACAATGGTGTGTAAATTGTAAGAAAATAATTATTAAATACATTAAAACCAGAATGAAAGAATAGCCTAAAAAAACACCGGAACAGACACCACAGCAGGCCGTCAAATAGGTCGGTATAGAATACAAAAAACCTTTTGTATACAACTTTCGTTGAATCAGGAAGCAAGTTTTGCATGGTAGCAGTTATGCAAGCTGCACCATGCCTAATTACTCTAATTAAATACTAGCCACTAGTGAGTATAAGTATATAGTACTTGCCAACGAGGTGCACCCAAGCGATTCTGTTGACTGCTGCTTTTGCTTATATAAGATCAAGCTATACACTCACTACAGTTTAATTGTACTGTCTATAGTGATTGAATTAAATTAAATTTTGTGCTGAAGCTATAGTTTCAATTTAAATACTGATTGTCCGAAACCTACAACCACACATTCCTGTTATTATAAAAGACGACGTTAGCTGGTCGCTGCGTGCAGAATCCAAGATCCACCCTGAAGACTGATATCAAATTCGAATAGGTGAGTTCAACTGTTCTTATACATTTCCATGACCATGCATGTATTTATCCATTCATCTGTTGCGCGTCTTTTTATATATATACAAGTGGCCATGCATGTCGTTTGTAAGCGATATTTCGCAGTTCAAATTATCATGTCTACCATCCTAGTTTAAATAAATTTTGTTCATGTAAACTGATCACAATATAACACAGATCTGCATGCTACTTATAGGTACCAGTTCATAGTCATTCAAATTGTTAATTTCCACGCTCAATAGTTTCGGTTAAAATTAGGTGGACTTCAATGATTTGGTTTCTTGCACTTCACTTGGTGGAATTAATATTACCTATATATACATGAACTTACGGTTACAGCTCAACAGCTGGCCTCTGTAGCTCAGTTGGTTAGAGCGCTGCAACGGAATCGCAGGGCCGTAGGTTCAATTCCCACCAGAGGACCTTGTGCTGCATTTTTCGCAGTCGTTCCTGGTCAGGTCTTATACTCACTTGGATTACAAACCCTAACATTCTTTGGTTAAAATTAACCTCTCATATTTTTTCTTATCTTTAGAAATATAGAATTATCTGAAATGTATTTCAAAATTTTGGTACTTGTTTTGGCGTTGCCATTTTTACTCAAAGTAAGGTATTTGTTGTGACAGTGTAAAGCGAAACATGTGAGGAGGGACATTTCTTATATAAGGGGTATATATTAAAATAGAACGGTGCCTTTTAAACCGATTCTGGTCTGACGGGCGCGTCTGTTAGATACGAAAATATAATCCGTAATCTTTTACAGTAAGTATTCTGTAATTGTAAATGACGAAATCTGTTAAAGCCTTTTTATACGGTACAAATACAGATTGCGGTTAAAAAACAGTCTCTGTAAAATTACAGTACATTCTCTGGCGTCCCAGCTGCCAGTACTTTTTACTGTAAAATTCCGGCGTTTTTTACCAGTGTATATATACACAATTGAATTTAGGCTGACGACGCCATGAAGATTGTCAATACATTTGATGAACAAGATCTAGATGAAATTGCAAAGTTTGAAGGAATTGAAGATGGCAAAAGCGCAGAAGTAGAAGAAGAATACAAACGCACTCTCGCGAGTGATGATGATGCCAAGCAAAGTTTTTCAAAACTCAGTCTGAAATTGGCAAAACTGCATGTGAGTTATATGCCCAAACCTTTTGACCAACTGAAGACTTTTTCAGTGGCAATTAAATGAATACTTACTCAATGATGTGAATGTATCGATTATGAATTAAAGATTTAAGGTTAACCCCCCTCTCATCTTACCAATTACCCAAACAAATACTGGTATCACCCTCCCACCGAGTAATTGTTCCAGAAGCGAGAATGCTGGAACGCGCAGCCAGCCAGCAAACATAATTTAAAATCAAGATTTTGTATACTCACGTATAGTTACAACAGCAAACTTTTACTTCTTTAACTTAATTTCATTTTTCTTACTTCACGCCTAAAAGGTATTGGAAGAAATTATGAAAAAAAAGAAAGACATAACCAGTTTGAAGAATAAAGTCAATGACAATTCCGAAGGTAAAAGATACCCCCAATACTCTTCCCTAACACAAGACTCATCTGAAAGAATTGAATAAATGAAAACAACTATACACTGCCTTTTTTCAAGATAGTTGCATCCAACTAAACTCATGATCTTAAATTTAATATATAATGCAGTGACAATGACACACTTTTTCAGTGTGTCTACAAGCAAGACAAAAATCTTAAACTAAACCAACTTTGCTAATGTTAATACTGGGAAGCTTCATCAGTTCCAATATTGATCCAGTGTTACTACAGGACGAATCCTAAACTATACTAACTTTATTTATACTGGATAGCTCTATCATTTCTAAACTGTTCTTCCTAGAGGTCCAGTAAGAGTCATCTCTTATTGATCCAGTGTTACTACAGGAGGAAACCTAAACTAAACTAACTTTATTTTTACTGGATAGTTCTATCATTTCTAAACTGTTCTTCCTAGAGGTCCAGTAAGAGTCATCTCTTATTGATCCAGTGTTACTACAGGAGGAAACCTAAACTAAACTAACTTTATTTTTACTGGATAGTTCTATCATTTCTAAACTGTTCTTCCTAGAGGTCCAGTAAGAGTCATCTCTTATTGATCCAGTGTTACTACAGGAGGAAACCTAAACTAAACTAACTTTATTTTTACTGGATAGTTCTATCATTTCTAAACTGTTCTTCCTAGAGGTCCAGTAAGAGTCATCTCTTATTAATCCAGTGTTACTACAGGAGGAAACCTAAACTAAACTAACTTTATTGTTACTGGATAGTTCTATCATTTCCAAACTGTTCTTCCTAGAGGTCCAGTGAGGATCATCTCTTATTGATCCAGTGTTACTACAGGAGGAAACCTACACTAAACTAACTTTATTTATACTGGATAGCTCTATCAGTTCTAAACTGTTTTTCCTAGAGGTCCAGTAAGGATCATCTCTTATTGATCCAGTGTTACTAGAGAAGGAAACCTATAACTAAACTATCTTTACTTTATAATGAGGCTAAATTATGATCAAACAACTGCGTGCATACTGTATAAATATTGGGCAATCCAATTTGATATCTGCATAAGCGCACCCAATTCAATTAATCATGACAGTATATTATGTTTTAATGAATAATGGTTATCATGTTTAATACTGTTACTTTATGACCAAAATCTATGTAGACAAATGCAGCAAGATAGTGAAAGTGGGTGAACCAATCGTACATCATACTTCTGGATCTGCTACCGGAACATGGATGCGAGATCCTCTTGGGCTGCTGGGCACAGGGAAGATTTGGTACATGGATGGTTTTAACGGTGATCAAGTGTTGGAATTTAAAGACATGGATCACTTCAAAGGTGGAGAGGTTGCCAAAACTTACACCCTACCATATAAGTTTGATGGTACAGGATCTGTTGTTTATGGACGATATCTTTACTTTAACCGGTTTGTGTAGGAATTATACTTTTTTTGTCTAACTATAATTAAAAATAACCCCCTGGAGAGAAAATAAAAGTTAATATTCTACTTTATTATCCCTGAACTATAGAAATGCAAATTTATTAATTTGAGGTATTCACAAATTTCATTTACAGGGCTAATACAACACATATTGTGAAGTACGATTTGGTCACAGAAAAGATTGCCAGGGAGACCGTTATACGAGTCAAGCCACGAAAGTTCAGTTACGAATGGGGTGGTTACAACACAGTGGATCTATCAGTGGACGAAAGCGGTTTATGGATTCTGTATACGTACTGGAGTTACAATGTTGCACATTTATGTGTCCAGCTGCGTGACCCATTGACCCTCGGCAAACTGCAACATTACTGTTTTATCTCCTCTGAGACCAGGAACAAAATGGGAAATGCATTTGTCGCTTGTGGTGTTGTTTACTGCATTGATAGTTATAATTCAGCCACAACAACAATCAACTCCGCCTATGACACAGCCACTTTCTCCGGAAACAATCCAGAAATCAAGTTTGTCAACAAATTCAAATACAACAGCATGGTCACTTACAACCCTCGCGAGAAGGTTCTTTATGCCTGGGATAACAACCGGCAAATAACATACCCATTGGAATTTGAAGACGAGACAAAAACTTAACTTGAGCAAAAAATTGAAACGGACACGAATATGGACACGATATTTACGAAACTTCCCTTTTTTAATAGCAAAGCATTAGTTGATAAAGAGTAGTATAGATTGATTCATATACCACAATCATAATACTCCATGGTAGATCAAATATGGGGGATTTAGTGTACCACAATAATATACTCCATGGTAGTTCAAATGTGGGGATTTAGTGTACAACAATAATATTTAGTATGGTAGTTCAAATGCCCATTGGGATTTAGTGTACCAGTATACCACAATCACCTACTCGAGATTTAGTGTGTAGGTAGTGTTCTTCAATGAACAGTTTGATTTTTAGTTAACTAAACTATATATCCTATACATTTGTAGTTGGACATTTCAGAGAAAAATAATGAGAATTTGTACAAAAAAAGTCCAGGAAAACTGAATTTAACCGACTTATGGTTCAATGAGATCATTTGTCTGCTATTGTGCGTCGCCCAAAACTTAGTTCTATAAATAGGGCAATGGACCTATTCTCTAATGAACAAAATTTTGATCTAGACAAGTCTATAGACAAAAATTTCATCACAGCTTGAAAGAGCATCACAAAATTAGTAATATTCCAAAGTTGCGTTGCGAAATGTTGTAAAATGCGGGTAATATAGCCTTGCGAAGTTTCAGTGCCGTTTTTCAGTCATCTTGTAATTTAGTACGCACTTCTGAAAAAAGGTAAATGTGGCACTATTTAAAGTGAAATAAATCCTCGTGAAAGATTCTAGACAATTCAAACAACGTAAAAAACGACTTTTAAAAGTTGTAACTGTAAATTGACCATTATACAAACAACTACAGCGCTAAAAAGTCGCATTTCGTGGTACGGATATTGCAGTAAGAATATCGGAGGCGTTTTAACGGACCATTTGCATTATAGACTAAATTTTGGTCTAGACAAAAATTTCATCACAGCTTGAAAGAGCATCACAAAATTAGTAATATTCCAAAGTTTCGTTGCGAAATGATGTAAAATGCGGATAATATAGCCTTGCGAAATTTGCATTTTTCAGTCATTTTGTATTACAAACCAATCTCGTACCCAGAGCAATGCCTGTGCGCGGGCTAGGATGGCATTGGCTCTGGGGAAATTGACAACCGGAACCCCTAAATTTAGGGTTCTTTGTCGGCATGCACGATTGATAAACGTTAACCAATCACAGCACAGGAAAAATTTAATTTCCCCAGAGCCAATGCCATCCTAGCCCGCGCACAGGCATTGCTCTGGGTACGAGATTGATTACAAACGGGAAATTGATGCCCCAACACCCGACTGGGCTGTCAATTTCCCGTGCGTAATACAAAATGACTGAAAAACGGCAAACTTCGCAAGGCTATATTATCCGCATTTTACAACATTTCGCAACGAAACTTCGGAATATTACTAATTTTGTGATGCTCTTTCAAGCTGTGATGAAATTTTTGTCTAGATCAAAATTTAGTATATAATGCAAATGGTCCATTAAAACGCCTCCGATATGACCTGCAAATGGTCCATTAAAAACGCGGGCTATATACCCGTAAAATGTAAGGCATGCGGGTAATCGATGAATGCGTGCGAAGAATTCCATTCTTCCCTTGCTCCCCCTCGCGCTTTTACCAATTACCCGAACGCCTTATATCTTCCGGGTATGCAGCCCGCGTGTAGAACTTAAAAATCGTAAATAAGCCTGCGAACCTGACGGTTTCAAGCGGTTGGCGTTGAGGCGCATGAGGCAGCGAAAATTAGGGAGGTAAGGTATAACCATGTTGCTTTATTTTGCTCACATGATAATACTGGATACCTGGTAAAGTATGTTGATTCAGTCCTAGGACTGGATCAAAATTAATTCACCTCACTTTAAATAGTGATTTATTCGTATGAGATATCATTTCAAATCCTCCAATTCGGACTGGACAAGATTTCAGGTCCTTGTAGTTTGATCAAATTGCGCGGACTTAAAATCTAGTCCAGTCCTCATAGTCGGTTTTGTAATATTACTTGAAAGTTGCTTTAAATGCTTGGAATATTTTCACAAGGAGAAATTGTAAAAATATTGACTCCTTTGATAAAATAGTAAATGATATTAACCAAGTATATTAACTGGCCTGGATGAAACTAATTAGAATAGCACATCAATATATCCGTGGCTGCTTGTAGACGCAGACCAAAATAAAATATTGCACCCTTGTCTTGCATGTTTAATTCGTGTCGAAACCAAATTACCGTTATGGTAGAATTGCCATGATGTCCATTTCACAATATTATAGATATATTCTATGCATTAAATTGTATGATAGATCAGTATCGGAAGGATAGAAAGAATTCACCACCAAGGACCACTATTACCCACAATAATTTGGTTTAAAGCAACAGGCAATATGTGTAGCTATATTGCGTCAGCCTGATGAAAATCTGGCTTTGAAGATCACGTATAGCTGTATATAGGCACGCTTAAAACTGCGACATTGTATAGAGGCCCAAAATATTTTCAAAATGAACATGTTTCGCATTTCAAAACTGCTAAATTTCAGCCTATAGTATGTAATGATATAGTAGCTAGCTATAGCCAGCCGAGCATGCAATTACTATAGTATTTATCAAAAGTACCGCTGAGTGGTGTTAGTAGCAATTTCCCAAACCAAGTACGAAAAGGCATATATATGCGTTCATGCAGTATCATTGAAACTATATTCATTCTGGAGTCCGCACAATATGCCTTCAAATTGTTTCAACTGATTTCTGCTATAAACTTACTATAATCTTGGCATGCGCTAATTGATCTGTGCTTATAGATCACAATACTTTAATTGTAAACCAAATTTTCTGCTGAAGGTAGTAGCCAAATTATTAAATATTGCATTGTGTCAATGTGATTAGTATCGACTTCCCTAATGGCACGGTTCAAATTCCGATGTAATGACCAGACGCAAAGTCGCCATTTACTATTATAAGTTAAAAGGGCTCTCGTGTTAAATTGAGTGTTAAGTATAAAAGAAACTCTTAGTTAGAAGTTAAAGGACTTTGGATATTAAAATTAAGTGTACAGATAAAGCTATTTTACGGTGGCCCATACGGGCCAACCCTTCTCCGTACAAACTTGCACCTTCTCCGTACAAATGTGTTGTTATTCCATGAAAACCAAACTTCTCCGTGGAATATTGCCGTTGTTCTGTCACGGAAAGCCTCTTCTCCGTACAAATATGCAGTTTCTCCGTGGAAACACGCATCTTCACCGTGGAAACACGCAGCATTTCTGTGGAAACACCGCAGCTTCACGGGGGGAAGAGAAAATAAAATCACAACGCAACATCGTGGTCAAAACATTACAAGCCAATTTTATAAATATGAATGCTTTAATATGGGCACAGATGCAGAGATTTTGATCGTTTATAGCTTTTGTAACAATTGTGGAAATAGAGTTAATGCAGTTTCTCCGTGGAAACACGCATCTTCACCGTG